CGTGTGTAACTTTGTTCTAACATTTGATGTCCCTCCAAGGCTCGTTCCGCTCTGCCTGAAAACGGCGGGAATGTCAAAAGAGGTAAAAAAGATGGCACCACAGTGTGTGCTCAGGGTGTAAGTTATGGCCGTAACTTTCTCACTCTGTCAGGCGCTTTAACCGCCTGTCCTGGAGGACACATTAACTTGGTATCCTTAAATAAAGTCCTTTAAATAAAGCTGGGGGAGTTAAATAATGAGAAAGCTGCTCCCACTGTCCTTTCTGCTTTTAAATGAACCTCTGCCTTTCTTATTAATGTCCCCTTATCGCTCATCACGGCCACTGACCCGCTGCTGTAACCCCTTTCCACTCAACCACATGAGAAGCTCCGGCAAGTGGTCGCCGCAGAAGTAATTGAGGGCAATTTTCAAATTAAAAATTAAACCCCTCGTCCATCTTCATGCGGTGGGAGGGGGCGGAGGAGAGGGGTTTTGGGGCTGATGACTTGATCAGGTTTTGCGAGCTGGGCAGGTACTCAGGCTGGGCGAGGTGGATGATGAACGAGGGGCATTAATCTCTGTGACAGAGAGAGAGGAGTTAGCAGCAGTGATAGCAGCGCTAACGGCTTTAATTAGCATTTAATCAGACGCCTCAGGGCCGATGGAGGGGGAGAGAGGAGATCTAACTCCAACGGCCTTGTGTGAGAAGAGGAGGAAAGGAAGACAGTCCCTGTCGTGGCTGGGCCGATGCTGCTGGCTGTGTTGAAGAACACAAGCCTGTGATCCTTTTGTACTCCTGTAATGATAGCAAGCGCGATGCACCCACCCTGGTATAGTACCGATATAAACTATTATATCACATCCTGGTAGGAATATATTCCGTATAATATGAAAAATAAAAAGTTTCTATGGTTTGTCTAGTACGTAAATCGGTAAGGAGTAAAGCGAGTTAAATGTGACGAAACGTTCCCGACTAATACCTCTTGTCGTGTAGATGATCCCGACCGTATAAAACATGATGGGTCGCAGAGGTCGCCGAAAGCTTGCCGTTACAGACCGACAGAGGAGGACTACCTACTCACCCGGTTATCGGCATCGGGTGAAGACACTGGCAGTGTCTTCACAAGTTTGAGACCTAGTCAGACATACTAGGAACGTCCGGGGAAATAATCTCTAAACCCATCCCTCCTTTTCTCTGCCTCCAACCAAGACTGTGAACACAAGCGCCTGTGGCCCTTGTGTATAAGTACATATTTCTCATGTTTTCACGTAAAACGTACTATAAGAAATTCATCGACTAAAGAAAACAACACATAATCGGTAATCGTGGGCAAGAGGTAGATCGTAGACGGGATAATCCGATAACATACCGTAATGACGCTAACTTTTTGATCAATGAACACTGAAACGTAGTAATTGTAAAAATCCTTCAGTGGTACGTGGATTTTTTGCCTAAATGGGACATGGACTCAATAAACCCCCGGGATCTTATACGTGGCATGACACATAGTGGGAAAGACTTCGATATTAATAAATTTACTAAAAATTCATGTACACTAGTTTGTTAGTTCGTTCGGGTTCGGGTTTGTAAATGTCATCCCGATAATCCTGTCACATACAACGATGACTGTATGGAGCTGACGTTTTTCGCAGGTCCCGGAAACCGAGTAGCGCGCAACGA